CACTGAAAAGCCAATTAAGTCTGATAAGATTTGACACAACCATCAGTGGGTCAAAGCAACAACATCGCATATAGTTAGCATGCAGCAGCTCATAGCTCTGCATGGAGCAGAAAAGTGAAATACCAACAAATTAAGGTCAGTCCTGGAGGCTGTGATGCCATTTGTATGTGAAACACTCTACAGCAACATGAGAATCAAAGCTGAGAGCTATTTTTACCATCACCGGAGTAGTTTAAATGAGTCTAAGTGTTGGGCTGGACTTGTCAAAGATAAATGTTGCACACGACTGCACATTATACCAATTGTTTGTTCTCCAGCCCACCCTCATCTCTGTCTGCATTTGCAATTCATTCAGCTGCTTGGAAGAGAATTATTTATGAGCAAATCTGTTCATTGGAATGGTTTGTCTTGTTTTTTCTTTACAGCACTCCCCTGATGCAGCTCTTCTGGGACCGCCTGTCAGAACCACCGATTTTTTAATGGAGCTATTGTGCCAAAACAGCACAAACAAAAAGTTTGTTGTTTTCAAAAACAGGAATATAATTACAGCTGCATTACTGATATCACAATAATCCTACCACAATATCCTCCGTCCCATTTCCCCAAAGTTATTAGTGAGATTGTGTTTATGTGTTGTTTTGTTTATCTTGAGCAGGGTTTTCATGTCCTCCCATGCTGAGAAGAAGAGGAGCACAGGTTAATGATGAGGAGCCAGGAACCAGACGACTAGAGTGGGTTTATTCTCTGAGCTTCAGTCCCAGGTGGTTCTTTCTTTGAGAAGTACGAGTTCAATAGTTTACCCATGGTCCTCTGGGCATTCGTGTTAGCCTATCAGTGCGGAGGAAGAAGGACAGTTGGCTGGGGGTGGCCAGTGCTGAGACGGCAGAACTGCTCGGTCAGTGTCTGGACTTTTATCTCAGAGGGACGATTAAGGACAGCGAGAGAAAAAATAGAAATAAATTCAGAAGTTTAAGTCAAGGCCTGAGTGAAAAAGACTTTAGTTTTGCTATTTGGATAATTAATGTGCAGTCATATCAAATCCCTCTAAGGGGTCTCCCTGGGACCCATAAACGATAAAATGTAAAGAGTAATGCTCTTAAAGTTTAGAAGTGATCTCAAAGATTGCAGGAGAGGGGACCAGCCAATCTAGGACTTTTGTTTATTGCCATCCAAACTTGGCTCGGCCAGCCAGCCAGCCCTGTAGCTCATGCGATTGTTTGAGATGAGCTGGCCGGCTGCCAAACCTGGAGTAAATCAGCACTGTCAGTCAGCAACAACAGCCAGCAAGGGAGGGAGGAGGGTAAGGAGCGCACGTAAGTAAGGATAGAGGGGAAAAGAGGGAGGGGGGTTAAAAGTTGTGTATGTGTGATAGAAATACAGATAGAGAGGGAGGGGAAGGAAAACAGGACCAATAAGCAAGAGAAAAAGAAGTGGGGGATGGGAGCAAAAAGAAGAGTAAGAAAAGGAGTGTGAGATGGAGGGAGTGCCTGGTGCTCTGTTGTGAAACATGAGCTTGGAAAAACTGCTCCGAGTTTAACACTCAGCCCAATGTTTTTGCAGTTGTTACTGTTTGGAGGAGGGCCATTGCGTGAGCCGACAGCACGCAGTGAAACCTACACACACACACACACACACACACACACACCATCCTCCCTGAACCCCACCCCTGGTGTGCTGGTTGTTTTTCTACCTCGGCCTCATCCCTCTCCTCTCACTCCTGTTATCGAGGTGAGGTGTGCTAACAAGACACGCCGCCTGCCTGACGCCTCTGGCTCTATGCCAACTTTCTGGGTAAAAAAAAAGAGGAAGAAATAGGCACCCACTGAACTAGCCTGGTTGTGTAGCTTGGAGGGTTTATCCAGAGCTTTGTGCGTGATTGGGAAGACAGCGTGTCTGGAAACTGGGCATGAGGCGAGCTCTTCTCTCATTACCGCGCACCAACAGAGGGCTCCTCGTGTGTCCCCAGGAAATCACAGTGGCTGCTTATTTTTATCCAGCTACATGAACCTTTTTCCTGCCAATTAGCTCCCAACAATGACCCTGTTTGTTTATGTACTGTCTTTTGAGTGACACCCCCATCATAATTAGGTCTGCGTCTTCCTCCACTACATGCCAAGTGCATGGATTTTCACACATGGAGAGAGACAGCTGCTCTCCACACGCAGGCTTACAGGGTGCACCTTTTTAATTGGGTCCAAATGGATGGATAAGTGAAGATTTTGAAAAGAGATAAAGTTGGAAAAAAGTAGAGGGGCAGAACAATAACCAGCAGGAGACAGAGAGGACAAGTTCAGCAGGTTCATGTGCTGCGCCGCAAGGATTTAAATCCCTCCCCCTTGACCACAGGATACTGCTAGTGTGTGAGTCAGAGATTTCAGTTCTGTGCATGTGTGTGTGTGTGTGTGTGTATGTGTGTGTGTGTGTGTGTGTCACAGCTGTGAGGAGGCCGGGAGTGACTGCTGCTCAACAAAGCACTGCGCTCTGCTGGGTTGCTCTTGGTAAACAAAGGGAACTCACAGAGCTTATAGTGATTGCCCAACCTCTCCTTTAACAGAGCGAGTAAAGAAAAGAGCCGGTCGAGCACAGCGGATTAAAAAAAGAGCTCAAAACTGGGAGTTTCAAAAGTGAGAAAATAACTTTTTTTTTTTTTCATATAATCAGCTACCAAGTGTTAACAGATTTATTCCTGCACCCTCTCGTCTCAGCTGTGTTAGGGTGACGGAGCAGAGCAGAGCAGTCAGGAAGAGGTGGGGGTTAAATGTGAGGTCTTTGCCAAAGGAGGTCAGCTGTGCTCAGTCACAGCAGAAAAAAAGGGAGGGATGGTGGGTGAGGAGATGGTTGCTGCGCCCTCAGCATGCCCAGCTGAACCCCGATCAGCCTTTTTTTTTTTCCCCCAGCACATGAAATGTGACGCTGTTGGCTTAGCTTCTTATTCCCATGACAACTACCCGCCTGAGCACCAGATGTTTGCGCAGAGCAGAGACAGAAGAAAGGAAAGTGTTCAAGCACTTCTAAGACCCTTCACCCAAACTATGATTAAAAGAAGTTCACTGTGCGGTATCAAATGCTCTAAATGTATCTGTTTTCAGATGAAGAGCGTCTCTTTCACAGCACAGCACAGCAAAGCAAAGGGCCACATAGACTACTGTTTTTCGTTTTACATAAAGCTGAGGCATATTTACCATGTTCACAACATTTGTATTGCATACAGTCATGTTTTTGAACTGTCAGATTTAAGGAGCATCATTTCCATTAAGTACAGACACAACAGTCTGGTCGTTGTGCTATACAGTACCTGCACAGATGGGCAAAAAAAAAACAGACTTGACAGGATGGCTTGGTTTTATAGGTATCTTATTCAAATTTCACCAAGAGAAAAGTAACCAGTTTTGTGAGTAACAAGCTGAAGTTACCTGAACTGGACATAGTCTTCCTCTGTCCTTCTTTATCTCACTTTCTTGGTCTCTCTAAATGAAGCAGATGCCTGTCCACCAATGCGTCTGGTTCTGCTCAAGGTTTCTGCCTCATAGGGCAGTTTTTCCATGTAATTACTCATTGTTAAACGACTGTGCAAAGAACTGAACAGTCTTTGTTTACTTTAACATCAGCTTGGGTGATACGATCACAATTAAGACAGCCTTAACTACAACTGTGAACACACCCTCCTTTTCTTACTGTCTGACTGTGGTTTCTAGAGATCTAATCTTACTTTCCCACTTCAAATGCAAATGAACACTATTCAAGAGCGCTGTCTGTTAGAGTAAACCATAACTACTTTGACTAATAGAGGAAAATCTTATCTTATCTTATCATTAAGTGGCTGCATTTCCGTGTACAGCTTGCTATTATGACTAATCCGTGTCCTCGCGCTGTCAATGACGCACTTTGGAGATACAGTTATGACATATGAGCGGTTAATGAGTTTGTAATGATTCAGCACAGTAGTGATACTTGTTTTTCTTTATGTCTGTTTTTCTCATAGACAGCCTGGTTCCGCCTGTATACAGATTTGAAGCCAAAAAGCTCACGGTAATTCTGGTTTTTTCTCCACTTCCTTGAAACCAGAGCTGCGCAGTAGCGTTGTACGCAGACGTTTTTGGCTGCGCGGGAGACTCGGAGCGATGACGCTCCGCTCAAAAAGTGCCCCCCCGGATGTCCTTCCAGCCTTTCATTCGTAACGCTAATAGCTTCCCCGCTCGTCGCGACCAAGAATAAGTAAGTTCCACTTCTCCTAATATAATGTGAAATGTGTCAGCGGTCATGTCACATGTCGGTTAACACAGTTTACTGCAGAACAACTCATTTTTCCAATGCAACAAAAGAGAAAAACGATGGAAAAATTTAATCCTCTTCTCCGCTAGCAAACCCGATTGGTCTTGACGATGAACGAAAAAGAGCGACGCACAAGCGGCAAGTGCAAAGTGTAGAGAATGACGCAATTTCCTGTTTTTATAACTCCTAATAACTTTTTAAAATGGAGCTGCAGAGAGAAAAAAAGACCTGAACACAAACCAGTCTAATAATAACTACATGTCAACATCGCAGTCGGGGTGAGAAAAGTGTATTTTCTGTGTAATTAATTTCTCAAGGCCGTCCGCCGCTCCATTCACTTTGCTGGTAGAAGTGGGGTTTATGACTTGTACTGCAGCCAGGCTCTAGGGGGTGCTGTTCTCGGAGTGGCTTCACCCAGCGAGGAGACAGACGGCGTCCATCTTATATACAGTCTATGGTTTTTCTAGAGTAAACAGAGACTCTTGTAGATCTGATACTGCCTTTATAAACCATAGAGCTGCAGAGAAACATCAGACTTCTTGATCAAAGTTTCAGGTCATGTCATCACTTCAGTCCCTTGATACCCTTTCCCTGTCTGCTGCTCTGTCACATGTCCTCTCTTCCCCTCTGTCTGCGTCCCTGTTTGTTATCATCTTTTTGATTTTGTTTTAGTCTAATAAGTTGGAAGAGGATGTGTGTATTTGTATATGAAGAGGCAAAGCGGTCACTGGAGGCACATGTTGATGAAAAGTGCGAATGCCTGTACTGTCCTCATGTGTTTGGATCACCCCAGAAACAGGGCCAAGGGATGAAGTCCAGACCTGCTCTGTATGTCAGGTGCAATGATGTAACTTTTGATTTGGACCCTTTTAAAAAAAACTTGGTTGATAGAGTGGGGGGAACATGGTTAAAGGAGAAAGTTGTGTGGAAGTTGGTGGCTCAGATATTGTAGGTTGTCATCTTCCCTCTCTTGATGAGTGATTGAGTTTTGTTCTAACAGGATTATAAGCATGAATCCATCCAAAGGGAACTGATATATTTCACTCAAAAGCAGAAAATGTTGGTTTATCTTGGGTGCTGAAGGAAAAGTCATCAATGTCAGTCAAATTTATTTTATAAAACCATGAAAAATCCCAATTTCATGGCAATCTGTCAACTTTCAAGTGCCTTTTTTGTTTGTTAGAGAAAAATCCCGTCACTCTCATTTAGACAAATGCTATGAGATGTGTCTAAAGAGTGGTAAATTTTTCTCTGCTATCAAAATGATAGATTTTACAGGCCATCCAGACTCTTTCAAGTTACCTTTACTTCCTGCCTTCAAACTACAACCTTTAGTGTTTTGTGGCTCAATGTCCATGGTGGGCTCCCAGGTGATAATTTGGTAATTGCATGTGTTTCCCGGGGTTAGGAGACACTTAAAGTAGTCCCTCTATGGGGGGCCAGAGTGTGCACAGCAGGTGCTGTGAAGCCTGTCAACACTTATTTGCTGTTTTCCTCTCTCATACAGCGACTTTATTCAGTCAGTGACACAACAAAACAGAGAAAGAGGGACAAGCTGAAGCTGTGCTCAAATTTGTTGCACTCTGCGACTTCAGCTCATGCAGAACCTCCTCCTCCTCCTCAGTCCACTGAGAGCCAGGCAAGTAGGAGTTAACTGTGTAGGCTGCCGTGTTTTGATTGGCTTTGCAGACATAAACAAGAGCCGTACTTGTGCGTGACCCTTGGGCCTGACCCCAGAGATAGACGCTTCTCTAATGGGTGTCTCTTTCAGCAGGCAGCCAGGCCAAGGAACAGAGGGGCCATTGTTTGGGCCAGGGAAAGCCAATGCTCTTCCTATTAAAGAGCTGAGCCTATAGAGGAGGCGACCGAGGAGCCATGGAGCTGAGGTAAACAGCAAAGGAGGCAGAATTTAGACTTGGCACACTAACACCAATATATTAAGGAAAATATCCCAAAAAAGAGAAGGATCTCTGAAGTGTTTCATCACACGATCCTTGTATGTTTTAACAGTTGTGTAAATAACTGTTAATTAGCTTCTATTAAGGCTTCACTTAAAAACATGAGGCCCAGGATTAGGGAGCAGAACTGAACAGTTGTGTGCACCAAACCAACCGTGACTTGGGTAGAAGCTGTTGTTCTCTTTAAACCACATCCTCTGACACACTTCATTGTGTGCATGTGTTTGTGTGTGTTGGGGGGGCCACAGGCAAGGGACTTTTTTTTTTTTCTTAACTGCAAGTGGCCAAACAGGTGAGTCAGGTGTTAGTGAAGTGTGAAACTGTACCTGGCATGTATAACAATGGAAGTGCCACGCGTCAGCCCCGAGGGAGGTGAGTGTAAGTTGTCTGCTCTGACGAACAAAAGAGCAACAAAATCCCAGGTGTGATCGTGAGCACGGTGTACGAAAAATACAAAACATTCAGACTCTTCAGATATGAAAAACTATCTTCCACTTTAATAAGTACAAACTCTACACTTCCAGAGAAATGCACTTCTGCACTCGGTGCAAACATCCACACAGACTTAGCTTCGTGTTTATATGTGTCAAAAGTGATCAATCATTCCCATAGCTCAAGGGCATCCATGCTGCGGTGTAACTAATCTGCAGGCTCAGCAGCTTTGGCCTTAACCTTTCAGGAAATAACAGTGATGCAGTGTGAGGTAACTCTTCTCATTTGCGCGGTACTTGGGTTCATTTTGCTGTCATGCAATACTACAGACGTATGCAGTCTACGGTTATCAGATAAAGATGGAAGACCTCCTATTTCCACTCGGGTGATCACTGGACAGCAGAAGGGTACAGATCCTGGCTAAACTCAGACACTGAGTTTGTCCATTTAGTGGTGTACTTTAAACCATGATACTCATTGAAGAACAACTCAAAATCCTAATTTGAGCTTTTCCTTACTAGAATAAACATAAAGAAGACATTATTTATGTCTGATCTCTCATTTCACTGAGTCTTTCACATTTTCACGTGTTTTCTTTCAAAGTTAAAGGCACTTGGATGTTTTTTGGGCTTTGTCTTGTTAAAAGCACAGCCAGTGATTCCCAATCTGGGAATGAGGCTTAATAAAACAATGCACAGAGTTCTGCATGACTGCAAAATCATAACCAATGTTGAAAAAGGACTTGCAGGTAAACCAAAGGCTGACAATAAATCCACCTTAAACCCCAAATGTCACAACATAGATGAGAAATTATGAAGAGTTGTGCTTCTCTTCAGCTTGACATCCACAAACGCTGGTTCACCTCACAGGTGGGTGCATACAAAGTGTAAGTGAATTGTGCTTTGGTTTCTGTTCGGGGTGTCCCGATATGATATTGATATCCGACATCGATTCTCAATTCAGATTCTCGATCCGATTATATCGGCCTGCATCTTAAATCTCTGATATCGGCATGCCAATTCAGGCAGTCCGTTCCAGACTCCGCTTCGGCACCTCTTCCTGGCGGCGCTCAGATCCAGCATGTAGAGCCCACGTAATCACAACTACAGTGTGTACCAAAGTACCAAGGAGTAGGAGTGATGTCAGCCCTGTGTCAGTATTTTTCATTTAAATCCGAAAAGAAGTTGCAGCTGAACAGTGCTAAACTTGTCATGCAAAAGTTTTTGCTAATGTCGGTATTGGACAATACCGAATGCTACAATATCAGTATCGTATCAGAAGTAAAAAAGTTGTATCGGGTCACCCTTAGTTGATGTATGCCTTTAGCTTGATGTTTACGAGAAAGGGTGAGGGCTGGAACCTATTTTAATCTGCTAAAAGTGAAATATCTGTTTCTTTCGAGCAGACTGTGCTGTATTTGAAATCAGACACATTATTCAATTTGACACCTTCAATAGAATTTTATTGAAAAAAAGTACCAATAAACAACAAGAAAATCCAGAAAAAGATTTGTAGAGCAAAGCTCCATATGTACAGCGTATTGCACTACATAACAAATTGTCTTTACTTCCATATTATATCAACAACCAAAAAATATATATAAACACAAAAAATGAGTGCACAGTAGAGTCTCGAAAACACACAGCCAATGTTTACAAAAATGCTACATTTTCGCTGGGTCTCATTTCTTGGTATACAGAGAGTGTGTGATAATCAAGACTTCATTGAAACTGAGCAATTAAAGGCATATTCCAGGGTTTTACAAACACATGTAGACTTAATCTGTTCTGTGAAAAGAAAGGGCAAATATTTCATAGCTAAAAAGCTCATGAGCCAAATTCACCACAACCATGATTGAGTTTGGTTTCTCGGTTTATACACCACGATGAGATGTGCAAGGAATGTTGCAAGTTCATTTTTGTATAAAAAATGCCCTCGATCTCACAGACTTCTAAAAGGATCCTACTCATATTTTAAAATTATCTTACAGCAATGAACTGTCCTTATAAAAGCAGACCCCCTTGTCTTAAGAAAATACATTTTAAAAAGTTAAGAAAAAACCATGAAGACATGTAATCTTTAAAAAAATGTAAAATCAAAAACCTTCCTCAGAAAACTTCAAATTTATATAAAGTGGACTACAAAAATTCAAGACACTGACGGTTTCCATAAAATACATGTCCCCCTCCAGGGATACTCCACACTCACATGTCATGTGGTGAGTGCGGCTTGGGAACCTCTTTCTAATAAAATTACACAGGGCACAGAGGCGGCTTGTTTCCCTTTACAATAAATCAAACAGGCCGTCAAATCCAGCCTATTGGTTGATGCACAGATATACATCTGACACAAGAAAACAATCCAGAGTATATACTATACATGAACACACAACAGATAAGGAACCCATGGGATCTACAAGAACAAAGTACTTTCCAGTGCATATTGATTACAACACAATGATAGAGATTGAAGAAATGGGCACTGTGACTCCAGGAGGATAAGAAGGCATTTCTAACATGTGAATATAATAAGTAACAGGTGGGATGGCTGGTGACTCATTCATTCTCAAGGTAAGGTCATGTCCTGGTTAAAGTTTGTCCTCACTGCCGCCTCTTTGTGGCACATACTGACAATGTACAAGCATTGGTGCAACACTGAGGAAAAATGTGTGAGATTTCAAAACATTTTACTAATGCAACGAGAGTAAAGATAATATGACAAGAATAAAAATAGAATTTGACAGGGCTGCACATCTTCGGAGCTGACTCAGTATTTTTGCACAATCTTTTTCACAGTACAGCTTTTATTTGTGAAACTTAAACCTCAGAATAACTTCACAAGATGCTCTGAGTTTCTTGTTTTAGTGCAGAGGGTTGGCTGCTCCGATGATGTTCTGCTTAGAAATTACTAGTTTATTCACATGATATTACAACTTTACCCTTTTATACTGCAGTGTTGTGATACAACCCTATTCTCAAAATCTCTGACTTTTTTTCCTCTTTCCTTAAATACTCCAAAGACATATCCATGAAAACCTGTGACAAGGTCTGAGGCTTGTAGTTTGCAATGGTGTTCATGGGGAAATGGTGTAATGATTATTTTCTACAGCAAAGACTTTTCAAAGCCATACGATGGCTTACTGGGAGGTGTAATTGCACTTTCATGTTGCAAAAACAACATGTACCTGCTGCATGCCCTCAAACTACAAATTTCTAACAGCCTACAGCAGATGAGTGGTGCCGAAACAGCAGAATTTGGGTTGAGTGTCACATAAAACAAAGAAATGGTTTAATGCAGTCCATCCTGCTACACAGACTCAAACGACAGAAGCACATAAAAGTCCAGGAGCAGAGTTAAAAAAGGAAAGAAAGAAGTAATTGCACACACACGTATACAGTAGAAATCGTAAAAAAAAATGTACAAAAATAAATAAGAAAGTAAAAAATAAATTACAAAGAAAAAAGTGAACCGATAAACAATCCCCCCCGTGTGTTGTAGGAGCAGCACATAGAGGAAGCCGGGAACTGATGGTGAGACCGTGGAGCTACAGGGACTGGCTCAGCGTTCAGGATCCGCAGGAAACTCTAACCACAACCACATTCAGTGCACCTCACACGCCTATAACTACACGCTCAGTAGCCCCAGTCATCACCACAGACATCGAGGCAGCCTCACGCTCCTCCTCAGTCAGACTGTACCTTTATGTGTGTGCTGAAAAGAGGAAACTTCGACTGAAATGAAAATAGGAGACGTGACAATTCCTCCTGAGAGTTAAAAAAAAAAAACGCGTGAAAACTGCTCATCTTTTCGCCATGTAACAGATTCTCAAGGTTAGCAGTAGCCCACAAAGTCCATCCCTGAGACATCTCGAAGAAAATGAGAGGAAACCCTAATTATGCAGAGAGAGAGTCGACACATTGTAATGATCGAGTAATTACAGACCCCTGATATGTACTGCTCTGTGGGTTCAAATGTCAGCCTGGGTCAGGAAATATAACAGCATCTTCACCAGTGTCTTCTAACATATTCATATTTCAACGATAATTACAGTCATTCTCACTTTTTGTATTTCTGTCCTTGTCTGCTGCTGAGTGATTGGTGATTATATGTATTAAAAATATCCCAAATCTGGATTTGAGCACCAAAGACAATAAAAGATCACCCAGAAGAATATAAAATGGTGTAAAAACGCTCCTACAAGTAGCCTGAGAGGATCCGATTCACAGATTGAATATGCAGTTTGTGGGGTGAGGCACATGGATCTTTTGTAATCCTGTTACAGCCTAAAACACTAGTGCATGACGTTTCCAGACGCTACATCCAATCCTGATTTAACATCGATCATTTTGTCTCTGTCATTTTGACATAAGGGTGAATATACCTGAAATGTTGTGGCAAGAAAAAAAAATCTGAACTGAAAACCTTCATTAAAAGTCAGAGGTTTGCTTGGTAACGATCTGAACTCTTGAAGGGAGGATGAGGTCTAGTGCAAAAACAGTGGATCCACAGTTCCACTTCAAGGGCATGGAGGTCTGAAAACAATCACATCAAACGAACACATTGAAAACACAGAGGGATCTGGGATTAGAGGGGAAAATTGGGAGCAAATTTAAACCGCTGTTTCAATGCTGCACAGTCATCCAAATATTATTTTTAGATCATGATCATCTGCAATTTCTGACTTGAATCTAAATCTCTTTTCATATCTGTGTTTTACCTCCTCTGAAGTTCTTCTATAACTTTGACCACCGCACAGTAACGCTCTGCATCATAAGTGTTCAAAGTTAACACCATACCAAAGAAAATAGAGGAGTGAGAAAACAAAACAAAAAAATGACAGGGCATACTAAAGAAAAATAAAACGTCCCATTAAGGTGAGGTGCAAAACGCTTTGTTCTGAGAAGTGGCCTCTTTGGAAATCAACCTGTCTGCTCAAACTTCAGAAATGAAAACCTCACGCCACATCTCCTTTCATTTCCTGACCATCTCATCATGCCCGTCAAAAATCTCTCTCAATACTCTTTGTGGCAGAAGACACTGAATAAGGCATTCCCAGGGTCTGTGGAGGTCATTTAAAGATGGATACATGTTGAAGTGCAAAAAATGTAACATTGTACTGTACAAAACAACTTCACCACACATATACCAAAATATGAACATTGTCCTTTAGGGGGGAATCTCGGAGGATCATGGCATCTTCTTGGAAAAAGAAAGAAAAAAAAACACTCAGCCTTATAGAAAAGTTGGTTGTCTCCGTCCTGCGGCGACTCTGCTTCCTTTCCCTCCCAAAAATTAGACCCGTGTTAAATTTGACAGTGCCATTAGGAGTCCAGTTCCTCGGAGAGATGAAGAAAAAGGGATTTAAGGGGAAGACCCCCTCACCTCCGTCCTGCTCCACCTCCCCCAGCAAAGACGCCTCTGTCAAACAGAAGGCTAAGCAGAACTGCACCCAGACGCCACCACAGAGGCCCCTGGTTCCTTTGGTTTCGATGATACTGAAACAAGAAACAAACACAAAACATGTTAAGTCAGTGTCCTCTGCTGAAAGTGTAAAGTCCAACGTGTGACTTTTGGTTTGTGTTGGCTGTGATGTGTTTTGATTGACAGCAAGCCCAGTGAAAAGGGTCAGTCGAGTAGAGGGCAAGACAGAACCAGACACCGGAACGACACAGATATTTTCACAACAGTCTGCTTCTGTCCTCAACAATACTTATTAAAGAGGCCTCCCTTTGTGGGCAGGATCCCCACACAATCCCAAACAGACATCCAGGGCCATGAACACACTCCTCATACACACACACTTTTTCTGGCAGAGGGCAGCCGGAGAAGACTCCCTCAGGTTTGCGAGCCAAACGGATTGTGTGTGATTAGGGGGGGATAATGCTATCTCTGCCATTGAGAAGCTGAGATAAGATAATTGCACCAAATGGGATTAGGGAGAGCTTGATGAGAGACAGGGAGCCTCTGGACTACATGTATCTGATCAAGATGTGTACAACAGTCCGGTCTGCAGACAAAAGGCAGACTCCAGCACACCTGATAATTCAGCGACTATTTTCAGTTCATAAAGGTTGTGATCTGAGGAGGACTTGATTAAAACATGCACTGAGCTGCTCTTTCTCTCTACAGTTGTTCCCAAATAGCTACAGGCAGATGTAAGATGTGCTGTATTTACATGTCTGTTGAGGTGGTGTCCAAACATTGACCTAGATACAGCCAAGAACTTCCATTGTGATAAGCCTCTGGCCTCTGGGTGTCTCTACTCCTATCAATCTGTAGTAAACATTGCAGAGTGTTGCATAAGCTCTGCCAGGTTCAGACCAGCATATGTGGCTCTCACTTTGCTGCTTTTACCAGAGAGGTCAAAAGCAAAACAAATCTTGGCAAAGCCTGCTGGGAATCTCGATAAAACCGGTTCTCTGCTGAATGACATATCTGTGTAAATCTTGCCTGAGGGATTTTTGATAAGGACATAGTAGTTGCATAATGTCTGTCTCATATAAACACAGGCAATACTTTTTCTTAGCACAGCACAGAGTAAAGGGGCAAGCAGCCGGATTATTAAACCTAAAATTAATCCAATTTATGACAGAAACCTCTGGGATTATGGAGGACAAAAGAGATTTTTCTTTTTTTCTGCAGTCATTATTTGTAATAATTGTTTGCGCACCAGGTTTGAACTTAGGTAGTAAAAGCTGGGGGAATGAAATGACTCAACTCAGATATTTATCGCACTATAAACAACCCTACATGAGTATTGACAATAAGCTGAGTAACAAGCAATCAATTTTTATGAACAAAACAGAGTTTTTCTCTGCCCGCGCTGATTTCCTTCCACTCTATTAGGCCGAGAGGAAGACATCACCACAAACGAACAACAAATGAAAGAGGGAAAGAGGTGTGCACAGGCCTGTCGCAACTTAGTCATGAGTCACACCACCAACTGTCAAAATAAGACAGGCACTATATTTAGTCAGCAATAGAGTAGCAGAGTCTAGCCAGATGCTTCGTGTCGTCACTCTGACACTCGCATGATGTGCTTTATCAGTGTCCCACGCGGGCTGTCTGTTCAGCCAGCTGCTCAGAAGCTCTGCCTTATCTCTTGAGCAAACAGTCCAGCAGCCAAAGCGAGAAACTTTGGATCAGTCACATCAGGGAGGAGAACGGCCACCGAGGAAAAATACAAACAAACAGAGGTAGTGTAAGATTATATAAAGCAGCTCAAAAAATCATCACAGAACAATGAATAAAAAGTTAATATCCAAAGCTTGCCTGTGTTTGTATTTCCACACCTCCCCCCCTTTACAAGTGTTAAAAGGAGAGAGTGCTGTGCCCTCACTGACACAGTGGAGAGATAAAGCCACAAACGTTACATGTGAGCACGCACTCACACCAGCGATATTCAACTCGGCTTTCAACACCTCCTATCGAAAGCACCAGCAGTCGTCTCTCTTAAAAAAACACGGGGATGAAACCTGACTCTGCTCCTTGCCCTGCGCAGGCTCGAGCTGTCTTCCTCCCATTGTGACTGTCATTACTGCCGAGTCTCAAATAGCGAGGCGGCTAATGTCAGCCTTCCTCTGGGGACCTCAGGGTCCCCTCCATCCCACACTGACTGAGGAGCAATTTATCTGTCAGCATCCACCAGCACTCCATCGCTACCTAATCCTTCCTTTCGCCAGGGGCCATGGGCTCCCATGGAGACCACTCGCTGCCCCATCGCTCCCAGATCCATCAAGAAGCTGACAGTCAGAGGCACTCAGAAGGCTCAGGGACAAGTGTCTGCACTGAATAACAGCAATCATCTACTGACAGGACAGAGAACTGACAGACATTAACCACTATTGCAGAGTGAAAGTTTTTGTAGCGATTTGGAGACTGAAAAAGCAAGTGTGGGGGCATTCATGCATGAGCGTGTGGACACATGCACAATATCATTTATGCACAACCAGAGCCAGAAATAGCAAAAACACAGTCCGCACTGAGAACATGCACCCAAACCCACACATCAGGGCTGTAAAGCATCCCGCTGCAACAGGCAGACACACACGCAAACACACAAACACACACACACTGGCAGAAACTTAGACATGCTCCACTTCACCTACAAGTGTCAACAATAACCCGAGATGTTTGTTTCAAAGTTATTAGCAGTAAAAGTTCGACCGCTCTTCAAGATGTTATCACTTTTTCTCTCTGTTGCTGTTTGTGATTCTGTGTCCTGTTTCTTGCAGCTTCAGGAAGTGACCTCACAGAGCTGCTCTCTCTCTGACTGTCCTCACCGCTGTTTATTCAACCTTCAAAAAAAAAGAAAGAAAAAAGAGCAAAGCCACTTCCTCGTCCACTGACCCAGGCCTGCCCGCGTTTTGCGTCAGTAGATCCCAGCTGCACACACACACACACACACACACACACACACACACATGGCAACCCCACTGTCTGATAGTCTGGTGTCTGCATTGCGTTTGCCACTGTCACATTACATGAGTTATTCTGAACTGCGGACATATGAATAAATTTAACTGATATGCCCGTGAGAAATTCACACACGGTCTCTCACTTGTAGAAAATTTCACCGCAGATGATTAAGGTGCATATCGGGGAGAGTCCCGCTTTCTAAAATAGAAGTTTCACAACAACTACAAAAGTTCCTAACATTATCATTTGAGGTTTATTTCCAAACCACCGTCCTTTATATATACCCATATACCATTATTTTAGATCCCACCCCCCTTCTTTATAGCTGTGTAGACCTCTTATTTGCTTGTCTCCTGTGGCCGAGAGGAAGGGGCTGACTCAAGACTCCCTCGAACCACAGCTGTCCCCCTTGGGGCTCACGCGCTGAGCTTCGGGTTACAACATGTTTACCTTCTCCCGCCACTTCTGCTTTCTCTTGGATGTATCAGTATGGGTGAATGTGTGGGTTTAAATGTGAAAAAAAAAACACGTTTTAGACAGTTGAGCACTTGTGCAACAAGAGGTTCACACTTTTCAGAAACCTTGTAAGAGTTTAAGTGTATTTTAAAGTGAAACTAGAGCGGCTCATAGCTGTGCGACACTCCCACATACAGTGGAATAAAGCAGCACACAAACTCAGCAGACAGTGTCACTCTGACCACAGTGTCGTGTGTGTTTGAGGCCAGGCATCCTCTGGTGCCTTTTGCCTCCACAGTGCACTCAGGGAAACAGGGGAAAAGAGAGAGAGAAATAAACAGGAAGAGGAGGCAGGGGGAGGGCCTGGGCTTGGCGAGGCGGGGGGAAGGGCTGCCCTGGTTCAGCAGAGTCCTTGGCTTGAAGGTGAGGGGGGTTGTGTGGGGGTGAAACGCTAGGCTCTCGAAGTTCTGCATGTGCACAGCCTCTCCAAAACAAATATGAAGCGAACACAATAAAGGGAGCCAACTTTAGTCCCACCATAAATCTTAGTCAGATCAAATAAAGTACTGTGGGGATGGTGATGTGGGGACTGCACTTATTTTACTGCCTTCACTTAAAAAAAAAAAAAAAGAAACAACCTTAACCTAACACAAACACAGCTAAGACTCACAATAAGGAATAGCCTGATAGTAGTGGAGTAAAGGCACAATCTGGTGCAGGGCTCTAAAAAGTATGAGCTATGTGGGATAACTATGTAAGACCAATTAAAGCATCTGATTTAATGAACAGCAATCATTTTTTAAAATGCCCTCTAGACAAGAAATAACAGGGTTATTATTAATACTTTGCTTTTCCTCAGTGCTCTTTTCTTACAATGGAAAATGACCAAGGGGTATTTAGGATGTTTTCCTTAAGCAGTTGATTTATCAGTAAGATAATCAGAAGGGTTTGTATAATTGTGTTTCCTTCTGGCTTTACTACATTTGACTTAGTTAGCTCAGCTTGTGTGTTCAATCTAGTGACAGAATCTATTAAACCAAATTGAAAACTGGCAGGAGACTTTGTAAGCTAACAGATCTACACCAGAATTGCCCTACTATCCGTGTGCACTCAAAACCAGAAGCGAAAATGTTCATTAAATCCTCCTCACCAGCTGTAAATGCTCCCGGTGAAACTGGTCTCCTATCAGTTGGAGTTTCTGGCCGATGCAGGCCTCCACGCTGCGAGCCGCAGGTTCCTGTTGGGGTAACTCCATCCCGCTTTGTTGCTGCTGCTGACTTTCTTGTCTTCTTTCTTCCTGATCCCCAACAAGCTCGAAGTTTGCCGGGAAGTGCAATCGGAAACCTGCGTTGCCTGAGGAGTGTAAAGCGTGACTCTTATTGTTTGTCAACAATACAGTACAGAAATGTAGGCGCAGCGATAACAACTGACCGGTTGTTTGATTAACTGTGATTGTGTCTGGGCTGACAATGCAACAGGTACAAAGAGCTGAAAGCTGCAGAGTGGGGCTTTAACCAGGACTTTCTCTGCTGTTGTGTGTGTGTTTGTTTTTTTTTGTCATAAAGCTTGGTGAATCATTCAGGAGTTTTAGACTGCAAATAGAGCCCTGTCACAGTTTTCAAGGTTGTTAGGAGCTACTTTGGTATGGCATCTTGTGTGTGGCACCTTTATGGCTGTGCAGTTTTACACACACACATACACAGGTAAAGCATTTCTGTCACGTCCTTTCACTTGCACTGCCAGTCTGGCGCCTTTTGAATAGCAAAGCAGCTGGGTACACTCTATACAGACCATAAAAGCCACTGTGATCACGACTATCAGGCGCCAGAGGTGAGATCAGTGCAGCAACAATTCTCACAGTGAGTTTCACGTTATAGTTTCGAGCTTTGGTTTTATAACACCAGTTATCACGCACATGCTAGTGTTCCCTTTTCTCTGCTGAAATATGGTATGCCATCAGCCTTTACCGTAAAAGAGTGGTCTGGGCTCCTCTGCGACTCCACAGGGCAGCATGCCGTTGTTGGGTGCCAGGGCCGGGCCAGGTGTCTGCGTGCCCCGATCTTCACACTTTATCTCCTGGAATGTGGTGCGCCAGCAGAAGGGGTCCGGCTCAAACACATCATCCTCCTCATCGTCCATACGGGGGCACTGTGAGGTGAGCAGCCTTAAAAGTCACATAAAAGAGAAAGAACAGTTACTGCAATAGCTGATCATAAAATATCATCAATCAAAGTCATCCCTTGTTTCCGTAACTAATGATGGTGACCTTGAACAAGTTTGCATTAGGCCTGATGGAATGATCTCAGACACATTCATAATACATTCATTCCTTCAAAGCATTCATTATCATTATAGACAACCTGTCCTGGTTTATAAGAAGTGCCCTCAAATCAATAAAACCACACAGGACAAGTTGGAAAGAGAAAATGAGCTAACAGTCTGCCATCACTTGTGGCAAAGAGCTCGGTGCTTATGAAGATGAATGGCTGAGTTCATCTCAGTGATGAAACCACACAATCCCCTGCGGTCAGGAGACTGTTGAGCCACATTTACATAAAGGGGAGTTTGGCTGACTAGGTTCAATGAGTATCTTTCTTCTCTGAGCTGATCCTTGCTTAAATAACTATCCCATGATTTTTTTATTGTAACACTAACATCAGGTTCTTGTACTGCGGACAATTACAAGCATCGGTGCACAGATAACTGTTTGAATTCAATGACAGGAGAAGTAAACGCACATGATGAAAATTAATTTAAGCCTCCCTTCAGTTCGGTTATGTACTGCACTTAACCCTGGATCATATAGTGGGTCAAGGAGTTATGAAAATATGGGCGAAATTCAAGTTGCTTCACCAGCAAATCCCCAAGTCACCATTGAGTTGTAATGCAGGGTTAGACTACTACCACACTTCCAAATTAGGGTCCAGAGAAAAGAGTAATGACAGTCTTTGAGGAAAATCCTAAGCCACTCTCCCTACCCTGGTCTGTCAGCCTGCCAGCTCCCTGAGAAGGATATTTAAGCAGACTGTCCTGTCCTCAGCAGAGAGACCTCACTGTACACTGTGTGCACTGACCATCAAACTTGTCTTTCAATCCACTTAATGCTTTGTTTTGAGAAAAGAAAAAACAAGCCAGGATTACTTTCTGTGCTGCTCGGCTGTGCAGGTATTCAGCTGTGTATTTGTCACAGACGGTGGCTCCCCCTGCTGAAAACTGCATAACCATAACAAACAGGGGGAGAGGTGGGGGTGGCTGGGCAGCTGTGTTTTTGACACAGTTTCTATATCGCGGCATCAAGACCTTCTTATCACACAATTTTGAAGCCGAATGCCCTACTATTATGCTCTAAATCCTTCACAGCAAAAAACCCACAGCACTCTGGATGTTCTGTCTCGCGATATTTTCAAATCTTTAAAAAAGTCACAATAATCCACCGGGTTTACTGAAGATAAATGATGTTAAGATATATCAGAAACGATTTTGCGCAAATTTTAAATCAGTTTACGCGACTAACAAATATGTAAAGCGACTTCTTTGATAATAATAATTAAAAAACATCAATTAAAACGAGCAAATGCGTTTAATGTGTGGTAAAAATGACTTCTATTACAGTTTAAAAAGGACTGAAATACGACAGAGACACAGTTACAACTCCGCCGCCCGGAGTCCATTGACCGAGCGGGCTCTGTAAACCGGGAAAGCCGGTATAATGTAAATCTCCGGTGTTTGAATGACACGCCGGGTAACACTCAACGCTGTTTTAAAACCACACTCCGTCGTTTCCCTACAATAAAACACTCGACAAATGTCACAAGAAACGTGCCTGAAGCTGCTCACACCACAACAGCGGCACGTTGTTTGTTGCTTCTTCACAGGGACGCGGTTGTTTTGCATTTGAAACGCGTGTCAAACAAGCTGTTTATAAAATGAACTAGAGTTTAAAAATCTGTTTTTCAGTAACTTACCACTAAGGTTGGCTTGTTGTAATGGTTGTCCGATACCCAAACTGAAAAGCAAAGCGAGCACAGTTTCCTTGAAGTTAGGCAAGTTTAGTCCGTTTCACCTCCACGACTACTTCCATTCTGAGAGGAAAAGTGCGACCAGCCGATTGCATTTCGCCGACCTCAGCTCCTCACTGCACTGACTCCGCCACAGGGGCGTGGTGCCCCAAGTCTGAAAGTTAGTAAATAAACCCGACTTAAGGACGCGAGAGTTTCTGTCGCCATAACTTTATGCATCCCAGCGGACTCAAAAAACACCCCTTTAAGAGTGATTTACATTTTACAGTTGTAACCAATCGTCGAGTTTGTTTTCATCCCGCCTCCTCCATCGCGTATTCAGACACGTGGACGGGAAATTCCCCGTGGCACGAGACCGCGTCGGTGCGATCATCTGGTCGGAAACCTGTGAACTGCTGTCACCAGGAAGCTTTACAAACTAAAATGAGAAATGTGATGTGACACGCAAGGCGACAAACAGTTCACAGCTAACCTCAACAATTACAACAACTTATACTTAACATTATCAACAAATAGACAATCTAACCCAAAGATTGATAGGCTACTACATTCAGGAAGCTTCATAGCCCTTTAATGCCTGACACCACAAATTCTGGCCAGAAAATTATTTTTTTTTTTAGATGAAATGTTTACTTCACTTACTACTGAAAACCAAAAAAAATCAAAATGTCCTTAAAATTCAACAAATATATTTATCTCGTTTGATATATTGGATGTTTTTGGAAACTGTTAAACCACAAGAGGACATTTTTATCATTTATTGGACTGTACTCAGGTGTTTTTTTAGTAATTTGTTGATCATTTTGATTTGATAGAAGTATATAAAAGTATGTATCAAATATGATACAAAAGGCATTCAAGGGTAATTTTCAGGTTTTATTGTCATGATTATTGTAGGCCTCTGTGTGTAATCGTTGTACTTGAGTGTGTTATTTTGACGGGAGTTTCATGCATTTTATTCTCTATTTCAACAAATACAAGGAAAGCCAAATGCACTCGATTACTATTTAAGCTATAATGTAGGTCTTTATTACTATTACAGTGTATGATAGATAGATAGATAGAACTTTTGGTCCCTCCTCATAGATTCTTCTCTTGCTTTTACTTTTTTAATGAGATTTTTCACTTGTTTTTCAACCAAAAACCTGTTTTGACAATCCTTTACTGTGAAATAACTGCCCTTTGAGGTCACTTGATCTAAAGGGCACTATAAATAAAATGTATTATTATTATTATTATTATTGGGCAGCACAGTGGTGTAGTGGTTAGCACTGTCACCTCACAGAAAGAAGGTCCTGGGTTCGAATCTGGGTCAGAGTGTTTCAGTGTGGAGTTTGCATGTTCTCCTGTGTCTGCGTGGGTTTACTCAGGGTACTCCAGTTTCCTCCCACATCCCAAAAACATACAGAGGTGGGGTTAGGTTAATTGGCCATTTTCAAATTGCATGTAGGTGTGAATGTGAGCGTGGATGGTTGTTCGTCTCTATACGTCAGCCCTGCAATGAACTAGCCACTTGTCCAGGGTGTCCCCTGCCTTCGCCCGAAGATGCTGGGATAGGCTCCAGGCCCCCGCAACCCCCAATGGGAAAAGCAGTAAAAAATGGATTGTTATTATTATTATTATTATTATTATTATTATTATTATTATTATTATTATTATTATTATTATATAAATGACCCAGATCTTGCTGGAAGTGGTAGAGATTTTGATCAGTATAATTGGGCACCTGTAGAGGAGGGGAATGTGGTTTTAGATCAGTAATAACATGTCTTTTTTATAGCTTAGATCAGCTGGTGGGGGGTTTAACATTTCTCTTGGATAACTGGATAGACACCAGGTAATTTGGGGGATCAAACAACAAGAATATTGACCAAAATTTGGTCTGGAAGTCCTCTGTAATTAAAAAAAAATCACACACATTAGACAAATGATTAAGATCTTTTTTGTCACCAGTTTGATCTACAGTTCCTGACTGCGAATTCTCAAACTTCTTGCATTTCATAGACACAGTTCTTGGTGTTTTTTATCACCTTAAACCACTTGATAGTTATCCTCTGCATTCTTGCCTCTCCTACTGATGAACAGGGCAGTTGCTGGTGATCTGACCTCCCCCCTCCCCCGGGCAATCACAGATCAATAAACCCTAGACCGCTTGAGCTGAGGCCAACCTGCTGCATTCTCTCACAGATCCTCACCCTGCCCCCAATTCCTCTTTCTCTCTTTCCCCCTCCCTTAACATCAGCTGTGATCATGTCCCACTACTGAGCAGTGTGAGAAGTCACGGGTGCCTGCCTCTTCTGTCCCGCATTAATTGGACAGACGCTTTTAGTTTTGGCACACCTGTGGTCGCTCCAAATACAAGGGGATGCACTGTGAAAGGGGGATTGATTTCCTCGTTTAGTGTGATATTGGAAACTTGATCACCTCTTGCATGAGTGAGCATTGTAAACAACAAAAGGGCGCAAAGATGTGGGAGCGTTAGCTGCAGCTTCCTTTTGTGTTCAAGCTAAACAAAGGAGATCCCCCTGCTAAAGAGGCTGCACCTGTAATTACTTAAGAGACAGCAAGAATCCTTTTGAGACAGGTCATTGCTGTAGTCACACTAATGAGGTTAAAGGGTTGAAGTGCTGAGTACAAAATGTACAAAAAAAAAAGTACAAAAAAGCCACAATATATACTTTTGCATGCATATTCTTCTTGATATTGTACTGTTAAGTCTGATTATGAAATATTGACACAGAACTTGTAAACACTGTATTGATGACTGCACATATATCTTAAAAAAACAAAGCTAACTTATTCATCAACCTGCATTAGTCTGTGATGTATGAGCATCTGAGAGCAGCTGCAGAAATCATTGAGGCCATAAGGCAGCTCTCAGTGGGACACATATACAGGCTTCTACAACATAAATAATAAATATGGATATATCCACAGCAGCCCTTACCGCTGCACAAGAATATGAATTATATACTCAACACATTGTTGATTTAACTAATTGAACTCTGTCTACAGGAATGTGGATTATTGCTTTGTGTTGATATGACATGTTAAGTCTTTTAGGAGCACACCCACGGACGGCTATGTCAATACAAAATCCTCTCTGAAATAAAGACAGAAACAGAATTTATGATCTATGGAATACGTGTTAATGTTTCTTTGTCTCTTTTTGTTGCTCCACAGCTTCATCACTGGCTTGTTTTTGCATTATGAAAAGCCAGTGTTCATAAATAAGTTCCCACAGACGCCTGAGAAGCCTGGGAGAGAGAGGAAGAGAGCAGGCATCAGTTTGTGTTACATCAGAAAGCTGTTTCTGGAGAGCGATGCATGCACGCCAACACACACATCCGTGCACACACAAACACACACTGCTGCAAAATCACATGCCCTACTTCCCCCGTAACCTCAAAAGCCCACTCTCCCTCTTCATATCTCGTTCTCTCATGTGCATCTATAAGAAAAACACTCACACACACAAACACGCACACACTGTCTTGCTCCAAACATTCTTGTGTTTGAACCCTGCCTGGAAACTGGAAATGAGGAGTTTTATTTGCTCCAACTGGACACGTTCCATGGCAACCACGTCCTGACTGCAAGCCAGTTAGATGAGGCATGTGCGGCACACTGACCCAATGGCAGAGATCATACTGGAGCTCTGACCTGATAACAAAAGAGGCTTGCTCTTCTGTTCTTCCTGGCACTTCTCGTAGAAATTTTAGACTCAACTAGCCCTTAAGACACAGGGTTAATGTTGTATTGATGTCCTCTTCATCCCTGTAATGCTTGAAGTATTAGGGGCATTCCCAACAAAGTCAAATCAGCTCTGAGGAATTTGACAGCCTCAGAAGCTAAAAGGCAGGGACACTCACACATGGATTCATGAAGGCATCTGTTAAACCTCCTGTGGGAACAGCCTTAAGCTGGCTATCATCCCCCATGTCATCTGCTGTTATTTGAAAGTCAAGTGACCTGAAGAAGTGTTTGTAATATCTGACTTTTGCCTTTACATTTTATTCAACAAAGAGCACTCTACATTTAACATACCAGTATTAAACAGATTTGCTAAAATGGCCCCCTCCTGCTGACTTTTGACAGTCAAATGTATAATTTATTCTGGATGTTATTTATGGAAGTTGTAGAACTGGGCTGTCTCTTCTGTTGAATCACTGACACCTATCCCTATACCTATCCTATGACAAAAGAGCATTTTATAATTTAGTCAATTTATTATTTTTTTAAATTTTGTTGAAATAGAGGTTCCTGACAAAGTCAAAAAGTCTTGATGCAAAAAAAGCTAATTTAAGTGTTTCTTTTAAGCATTTAAAAACAAAAACGGGTCAGCGCAGACCCTAACACAGGAGGAGGGTCAAGAGCTGTAACTTTATTTTCTTTATATTATCACTATAAGCAAATTACACTATATAAGCAAAATACATTGTTGTGTAATTTTTCACTCACTTGTCGTACAGTAGTAGTATTTTTGTGGGTTACTTTTTGAAAGGAGAGTTATCTTGACATATTCTTTGACAATATAATCAACATTACTGTTTATTTCAGAGTATTAGAGATTCTTATGGCTCACAGCAAACAGTTCAGCAACTATCTAACAAGCATAAAAGGTTTGATTTTTTAATTTAAAAAAATGTCTGTTATTGTGTTTTACTGCACATAATAAATGGATCTGGAAAATCTGAAAAAAAAGGAGGTTTATAACCAAGTTTTCTCTCCACTGTGTAATACCCTACATTAAAGCACTGGTAAGTGATATATCTCTCAAACTTTAAAAAGGGATATTTTTTGAAAGTGCTGCAAATCAATCGGTGTGGCGCCTCACCTCCTTGGCCCTGACAGTGATTACAGGCATTGAAAAATGCAATGTTGAAATTGCAAGACACAGCTAAACTTGGCAAAACTATGAGATGTTTTAGTGGTATATAAAACAAAGAGCCATTTGGGGACCAATTGGACCCGTTTGTATTGTTGTGCAACTAGCTGTTTTACAAGGCAAATTCTAACAGATTTATTACAACGGTATAAAAAAGATAAATGGAGTTGAAGAAGAACAAACAGTGAAAGTGTGTTTGTCCGTCTGTCTTTAATCCTTAGCAGCCCCACTCAGCCGATAACTGGTTGAATAATGCAGCAGGTGTTGAGAGGTTGAGGGGTAATTTTGTGCTTGATCCCGGCCTCTTTCAGAAATTGTGAAGGTGAGGCCAGTTATGAAGCGACGATACCTGATCTGACTGCCGTAACTGAGAGCACTGCCACAAAAGGCCACCTTTGTAAAGACTGTCTGGTAATCATACATCCCTGTCTG